AAAGCTGGCCCTGCAGAGGGCGGGGGACATTTGCCGCACGTGTGAGTCGGCGAGCGCGAACGGCGCTGCCATCCGCTGCGAGCAGACTGCTTTGACTCGACTGCCGGCTTATTGGAAGTCGCGTGCCCGCCTCCTTTCCGCTCATGCATGTCGAGACAATTCCTGCCCACGCTGCGGCCGAACAAGACATACTGACGAAGCGCGCTGTCCCGCCGTGGGTGCATCGTTCCATGTATGAGGAGTTACCGGTCACTTTACGGCGGCGCGCACCGCTCAGCCGCCCGCTCGCTGCGCCCCAGGCGGCGGTCGTCGCTGGCAGAGCGCCAGGTCACGTGACCGCGGGGCCGGCGACCGGCCGTCCAGCCGGAGTGCGTCGAGATCCCGCCGCAGGCGAGGCGCAGGGCGTGGTGCGGCACCGGCAAGTGCAGCCGGGAAGCGATCGGGGATACGGTGAGTCATTGCCGATGTCCACGTGGATCGGCTGGCCCGCGGCCTCCTCCCACGCGGGTTGAAATGACGCTCACTTACCTGTTAGGCCCTGTGGCGTATTATCAACGCCACGGCCACTGGATGATCGCGAGTCTGTCAGGACTGTCTGCATGCCACGACAGGTCATTGGGTTTGCGCTAAGCTGGCGTGACGCCGTGCGTCTACGGATTCCACCTGCCGACTCTCCAGCCCACGTTCCTGTCAGCATGGCGCAGTGCCATTCCGGTACAGACCGTGCACGCGCGGACCGGAGCAGTGACCGCCAGATCTGCCCAGTCTGCCCGCGACTCACTAGCGCCACCTGTTGACTGACAACCAGCGCCGTCTGCCGGCTGTACCCTGGAGCACGGGCAGCCATCGCCACCTACCTGCTTTCACCGCCTACCTGCAGAGCGGCCCGGGTGGCCGGGCAGCTGAGTGCCGCTCGGGAGCCGCGGAGCGCGGTGCACCACGCGGTACGGAGGCCTCTGAGTCGCCGTCTCCAGTGCCAACACCCAGCTCCGTGTATGGGAACAAGACCAGGGCCCCCAGGCGCCGCCATCGGAGAACATTAACCGCCCTCAGACGCTGCCGGAGAGAGGAATTACGATGAGCCCGTGAAAGTTCCAGTTCGCTCGGCAGTCGCTAGACTGCTGCGGCTGTCGGATCTCTGACCAGAGCTACACAATCGACGACGGCAAGCTGCGGGCGATCTCAAGCTGCTGCAGGCGATCACAGAGCTTCCCGCGTCCAGAGAACTTAACCGACTTGAAGTCGTTCTTGGGACTCTCCAATCAGCTGGCGGGCTTTTCAGCAGACATCACCAGCGCGGCCCAGGCTCTCCGAAACCTCAGGCTGTCCACCATGCTCCAGACGGACTCTGCAGCAGCCCGCGGCCTGGGTTTCGTCCTGTAGCAGCGACACGGAGATACATGGGAGTTATCCCAGTGTGGCTCCCGCTTTCTTGCAGACGACGAATCACGACATGCAGCGGTGGAGCTTACAGGTCTGACCCGTTGGTGGGCCTTCTGCAACTGCGACATGTTTTTGGCCGGCCTGCCACACTGCCCGTCGTGGATCATCGACCACTCGTCCCGATCTTGAATTCGGGGAGGTTGTCTGCGATCGACAGCCCTAGTCTCCAGCGGATGCGGAGAAGATTTGGTGACAATCCAATTGGTGACAAAATTTTGCAATTTAAAACAATTTCCAACATACTAGAACATATAACAACAGACCACTCCAGCTAACTTAAACTCAAAGCTGCACATGGACTCATTCACCTGCCGTCCCCTCATAGTCTAGGCAGGTGTGTCCATTAATTCTCCCCCACTACCGTGCTACACCGCCCGCCCTTATTCGAGGTTCGAACTGCGTGCCCCTTCAGGTTCCAACCCCTCCACAGAGGGCCTCCTTTGTACTGACTGCGCGACTGAAAACGACCAACTCTGACAGCCAACACTTTGCATCACGAGAGACCTAGAACGACTAAATCGACAACGAATCAGATGAGTATTGCTGGAACCAGACCCAGCCATAGCAGACCCCCCCCCCCCCGCTCCTCCCCTTCCTTGAGTCCCGAACGGCCTCGGGACAGCCGAGTAGGGGCCAGATACGAGGACCGGCTGGGCTGTCCGGAGATTGTATCAAAGCGGCCAAGTGCCGGACAGTGTGCGTCCTAGTCCATATCAACTAGAAGTGGATGCTGCGTCGGCAACGACCCCCTAACTTGCCCGAGAAACATTTGCTGAACAGCTGGATATGGTAGGGATGACATGGATTCACTCCGAATTCCAAAGTATCTCTTACGTTGGTTGGGGCCCTCTGATGATAAAAGTAGATATTAGGCGTTATCATGAGGTCCACAATTAGACGGTGAAAGAGGAACGACTTCGCGCAGACGCAGTGGAACAGTGCGATGCGGAGCGGCGGACAAGCCGACCCATTGCACAACCTGTATAGATTATCATTACGTAATATTATGCATATGTCATGTGCTGAATACATAAGGTTACGAGAAAATGAGAGCCCACATGCAGCCTACATGGATGCGAGCCCAGCTGGCCTATGCCCAGCCCATATGGACCCCAGTCCAAGCAGTGGTCCCATGCTTTATAATAATTATAGACGATACCGTGAAAGCAAAACAATAAAAAGCCTTGATATAAACATGAATATTGTAAGTGGCAGCTTGATTGCGCATGTCACAAAAGGGTCAGGCCATTTGGGCCCCAGATTACACCTGAATACCAGCCAATGTGCAGTCCATGTGGACATGAGGCCAACTGGCCCACATATGGCCCATATGGACCACACCGAAGCAAACTTTCCCTCATGGTGACTTACATTTTCTTGACATGATACACTGCGACTGGACAGTGCAAGACACAACTATTTGTAGAACATGCAGAAAAAGAAATGATGTGGTCGCTCCATGTGAGACGAGGCTGGAGCCCAGCTAAAAGCCAATTCATAGCCAATGCCCACCTTACCGAGTGCTGTCATTGGGATCGCTGGCTGGGAGACAAACGATTTCAATGAAACACGCGGTGTAGACGATGGTTTGCCGTTGTGAATTTTTGAAGTGTTTTTTCTTTGCGTTCGATCTGCACGTTTTCAGTGAATACAAGACCTAATAACACATAAGACCAAGACCAATAACACACAACATTAAAACAAGTTGCTGGTTTTATCTCGAAGTACAACCCAGATGGGAGCACAAACCCTAGGAAGCTAACTCAGCCGACTACGACGCGGTCGGTCTGTCGGCCGCAATCAGCTGTATCCGGCTGCCCATCAGCACATCCAGCGGACGAATATCGATATGCAGGTACAATATCAAAAAAACAGATGGCAGGGAAAACAAACAGCAAAACCCTTAAGATAAATTGAATAGCGTGGAATATTCGGTGAACTACGTCAAGACCAAGGCACCAGCATTCAAAAGCGAAATAAATAATGCATGTGATGCGTGCCTAAGCAAAGTTATCGCATACCAAATGTATTGCCAAAACAGTAGGGAAGCGCCACGTCTAGATGCCATGCGACTGCGAGCCTTCTATAAGAGGCGTACAAGCGTGCGGACGCTCCGGGTGTCCGGCCGCAACGGCCGGCGGCCGTGGCCCGGTTCTCCGCCTCGGGTGGGCGGGCGGGGGGCTGCCGCCGATCGGTGCCCGAGCAAGGATGGCCGCCCGCTGAGGGCGGCTCGAGTGCGAAGCGGACGAGTGGAGCGATTCGTCGTGGTTGGTACGCATTTGCTGATTGATTGGATAATGCACGGTGCGAACGAGGCTGAGCATGCGCTCGCATCGCACCGAAAATGGGACACGTTTGTGACTGTGGTGACAATTTTTCGGCACAATATTGTCGCTCGCAGGTACGTTTTCATCGCCGGCGGGCGCCTCTTGATGATTGAACGTGCTTTGGTGTCTGCGCGTCCGGCAGAGGCTGAACGCCACGTCACGTGGAACAGCACACTCGGCGTGAGCATGGCGCGACAGGTTCAGCCTCGCCCCGATTGTCCGTCATCAAGTGGAATAGGTTATGCCAACGCGACGGCACGCGCGGCGAACACACCGCCGATCTGACTGCTCCGCGTGCAAAGTTCACATGCCAGATCGCAGCGGCGACGCGAGAGGCCGGCAGGCGAACAGACACAACGCTACGCTGGCACTCAACGAACGCTGGACACTGTGCGGCTTGTGCGTGGTGGGCGCCAAACGGCTGTTGTCTTGCGCTCGGGTCGCACACTGCTTGGTGCTGCGCAGGCCGTCGGCGAACGGCTCGCCGGTCGTAGCATGATTGTGTCCGGCATCTGTCGGCGCTGGGTGTGGCCCGTTTGACGGTTGCACGTGCGCGGCACGGCTCTGCGAAAGGGCACGGCGCCACGAGGCCAGCCGGCCACCGCTCGACGACGTCGACCGGACGTGGCGCACGGACGCGCGCCGAGTGCTTGCAGCGGCCGATTCGGACACCGGCCGACAGTGAATTGTCACCGCCGCCCATCGCCATGGTGCGTGCTGTAATTGTCCGATACAGAGGCGGCCGGCGCGCGTTCGCAGTTGAGCGCTGGCCATATTTCGGGCGCGCTGACGGGGCGCCGTGACGTCATGGCCAGACGGTCGCGCGGTACGGTACAGTGGCCGGCGTGTGCCCAGCACTCTGCGCGTGCAGCCGGCATTCCGTATTCCGCCATGACTGAGACGTCCGCTGCGCCAGCCGCCGCCCCCGCCGCCAAGGCGGCCAAGGCCAAGGTGCCTAGGGCCAAGCCCGCTCATCCGCCCACCAGCGAGATGGTGCAGGGCGCCATCAAGGGCCTCAAGGAACGCGGCGGCTCGTCGCTGATCGCCATCAAAAAATACATCGCCGCCAACTACAAGGTGGACGCCGAGAAGCTGGCGCCTTTCATCAAGCGCGTTCTCAAGTCCGGCGTGACCAGCGGTGCGCTTGTGCAGACCAAGGGCAAAGGCGCCAGCGGCTCGTTCAAGCTGTCGGCCGCCACCAAGGACAAGCCCGCCAAGAAGCCGGCCAAGTCGCCCAAAAAGAAGCCCGCCGGCCCGGCCAAGGCCAAGAAGACGCCCAAAAAGACCACCAAAAAGCCGGCTGATAAGAAGAAGGCCACCAAGTCGCCGGCCAAGGTTAAGAAGGCCAAGCCCACCAAGGCCAAAAAGGCCAAGTCGCCGGCCAAAAAGCCCAAGGCGCCCAAGCCAAAAAAGTCGCCGGCCAAGAAGGCCGCCAAAAAGACCACTGCCAAGAAATAGGCTGGCGTGCCACCACCCCCGTCCGTCGGGGTGCTGCAATGGCTCTTATCAGAGCCACATAACTCGCTCCTGTACTATCAGATCGCAGACTGTCTCGCATAATTGGGCTGTGCAATCGTGCACGCCAAACGTGTCACCCACAGGGGTGTGGCACTTTGGTCTGTTTCTGCAAAGAGGCTTTGCGTTTGACAGCGTCTGGCAGAGCGCCAGCTAGCTGCTCTGACATTTCAGACAACTCGTTGCCGTGCGTTCGTGTCACACCCAGGCTCGTACTCCATGCCACTGTCTCTGGTCCTAATAAGGACCTGTTGATGATTTCGCTCTCAGCGCTCTTAAGCACGCTCGCCACGAATGCGACGCGCCAGCTGGATGTCCTTGGGCATGATGGTCACCCGCTTGGCGTGGATGGCACACAGGTTCGTGTCCTCGAACAGACCGACCAGGTACGCCTCGCTGGCCTCCTGCAGAGCCATGACAGCGCTGCTCTGGAAGCGCAGGTCCGTCTTGAAGTCCTGCGCAATCTCGCGCACCAGCCGCTGGAACGGCAGCTTGCGAATGAGCAGCTCCGTGCTCTTCTGGTAGCGACGGATCTCGCGAAGAGCCACCGTGCCCGGACGGTAGCGGTGAGGCTTCTTGACGCCGCCGGTGGCCGGCGCGCTCTTGCGAGCCGCCTTAGTGGCCAGCTGCTTGCGCGGCGCCTTGCCGCCGGTAGACTTGCGTGCCGTCTGCTTGGTGCGCGCCATTATTCAAACCGTAACGGTCGTTGGCGCCAACAATCGGTCACAGTTGCACGTGCGTCGACGGCGCCAAGTAACTGCGCATGCGCAGAGTGGCGCGCCTCACGTGCGGCGCGCGGTATGGTCCCGCGGCCGGCGAGCCCCACCGAGTCCGGGTGTGGTGCGCCATCTACCGCTGGCGGCCACTGAAAAGCTGTCGACATGACCGGCAGAGGCAAGGGCGGCAAGGGACTCGGAAAGGGTGGCGCCAAGCGTCATCGCAAGGTGTTGCGCGACAACATCCAGGGCATCACCAAGCCGGCCATCCGTCGTCTGGCTCGTCGCGGTGGCGTCAAGCGCATCAGCGGCCTCATCTACGAAGAGACGCGCGGCGTTCTCAAGGTGTTCCTGGAGAACGTTATCCGCGACGCCGTCACCTACACCGAGCACGCCAAGCGCAAGACCGTCACCGCCATGGACGTTGTCTACGCTCTGAAGCGCCAGGGACGTACTCTGTACGGTTTCGGCGGCTAGACACCTCCAGCGGACGGCGCGGTAGCGGCCCATTGGCAAACAGGCCTTTTTGAAGGCCAAATATCTCGTTCCGTCGACTGCGATCACATAGTGGACACAAATGGCGCCAGCGCCGTTAGTGTTCGGCACGCCATTGCTTTATCGTCGTCGCCGTTACCATGTTCGCTTTTTGACGGCCTATTTCGGTTGCCGTCTGTTGCCGTCAGCGCTGCGCAATGGCGCGGATCAACAATGCATAAAAACAAATGAGAGTAAATAAGATTCAATAAGAAATAGCGCATGCCAGTGCCGGGCTTTGAATCCCGGCCACGCTTCTCGTCTACGTTTTGCGCCATGCCAGAGGCACTCTGGCGCCAGTGCCGTTCCTGTTCGGCACACTGCGCTGCTTTATCGTCTCCGCCTTTTGACGGCCTATTTCGATTCTCGTCAGGGCTGTGCGATGGCACGGATCAACAATACATAAAAATGAGAATAAATCAGATCCAATCAGAAATGGCACACGCCAGTGCCCGGCCTTCAATCCCGGCCACGTTTCTCGTCTACGTTTTGCGCCATGCCAGAGGCACTCTGCCATCGGCCGTTGGCCGGTTGGGTGACACCGTGCGATCGCTCTCGAAAGATGCCGATTGCGTGGCCTTTAAAAAGGCCTGTTGTGCGCTGACACGCGTGCGTGCGGACGCTGCTTACTTCTTCTCGGTCTTCTTGGGCAGCAGGACGGCCTGAATGTTGGGCAGCACACCACCCTGGGCGATGGTCACGCCCGACAGCAGCTTGTTGAGCTCCTCGTCGTTGCGGATGGCCAGCTGCAGGTGGCGGGGGATGATCCTGGTCTTCTTGTTGTCGCGAGCGGCGTTGCCTGCCAGCTCGAGCACCTCAGCGGCCAGGTACTCCATGACGGCGGCCAGGTACACCGGCGCGCCGGCGCCAACGCGCTCGGCATAGTTGCCCTTGCGCAACAGACGGTGGATACGACCGACCGGGAACTGGAGTCCAGCCCGCGACGAGCGAGACTTGGACTTGCCCTTCACCTTGCCGCCCTTGCCGCGTCCGGACATGGTTGATGTGCTATGCAGTGCAGATGACTGGCTGGCGAGCGCGGCCGCGCGTCAGGGTTATTGACTCACGCTAGCGCTAACCGGCCGCCCGACGCCGCGCCACTGATCGCCGCCCGGCGCGGCGCACGCCACCGAGAGTACACATTGGCGCGCGCCAGTGGCGCCCCGGCGCGGCTATAGAAAGCAAACCCGGACGGCGGCGCGCGCACAGATCGCTGCACAGCCGGGAAGCAAGTATGCCGCCCAAGACGAGTGGAAAGGCCGCCAAGAAGGCCGGCAAGGCCCAGAAAAACATCTCCAAGGGAGACAAGAAGCGCAGGAAGAAGAGGAAGGAGTCGTACGCCATCTACATCTACAAGGTGCTCAAGCAGGTGCACCCGGACACCGGCATCTCGTCCAAGGCCATGAGCATTATGAACTCGTTCGTCAACGACATCTTCGAGCGCATCGCCGCCGAGGCCTCTCGCCTGGCCCATTACAACAAGCGGTCGACCATCACGTCGCGGGAGATCCAGACGGCCGTGCGCCTGCTGCTGCCCGGCGAGCTGGCCAAGCACGCCGTGTCGGAAGGCACCAAGGCCGTTACCAAGTACACGAGCAGCAAGTAAGGTGCATCTTTGCCGGTCACAAAATCATCATCATCACCATTATCATCGCGTGATCGGTGGGAGAAATAGGTCTTTTTTAAGACCAAGCACACAACTCTTGGCGAAATGGATCACTCTGGTTAGCACGCCTGCTGAGCGCGGCCAGGCTAAGTCGGCAGACCGACCCCTTCACCACGTTTAGGGGCGATTCATACCATCCGTAGAATCTTACTATTCAGCACGTGCTTTGCATTGGTTATGCTCGTGAAAATTGCCAACCACCTAGTTTGCAGTGCAGTTGTAGATTGACCTGAGCTGAATGAAATCTAATTGCAATACCTAGCTGTAATGTTTCACTTGTATGCTGCATGTGTGCAACTTTGAAAACGGAACACGTCATTCCGAGACGCTAGCATTATCCATGGATGCCAAACATCGACGTGCTATTTTTCAGTATTAATGATAGCAGAAAACGCAAACGAGCACAGAAACCTTCAGAAACGCACCTGCGCCGGGGCTTTTAACAACACTTGCATAGAAGACAACTTGCTGCCCACATATGCCAATTGTAAATATGCTTAGCGGGAGCAATCGTAGGCAATTGGAGTGGCGAGCGCATACCGTCCAACAGGGGAGGGGGGCGGGGGGCCCGTGCGCCGGCTTTAGTTTGCAATTCCCACCGCCAGGGGCGCGCGCGCGCGCGCGCAGCCGCGCATGCGCATAGCTCATGCCGCGCCAGTTGTGTTTCTCGGTGCCACAGCGGCGGCCGAGCGCGTTTTTTTGCATTGATACCGGACGAAATTAGCCGGTGTTAACGTAGTGTCGAGCGCGTCCTCTTGCATTGATACCGGACAGCGTTGGCCGGTTTAACAAAAAGTAGTCGACCCCTGTCCCTTGCTTTGCGCCGGATAGCACAAGCCGGCTAAACGTAGCCTTTTGCCTGGCCTTAAGCCAGAAGTGAGTTCCCCAAGCCCCGGCCATGACTTAAGGCCGCCGGAGCAAAACAACAACAAAAAATCACCTGGCGGAAAAAGTGACAACGGCACCCGGTGTTCCCAGGCGGTCACCCATCCAAGTACTAACCGGGCCCGATGCTGCTTAACTTCAGTGATCGGACGGGAACTGGTGTTTTCAGCATGGTATGGTCGTTGCCGGGCGAATTCGTTGCCGGTGGCCGCGCGAATGCGTCCGCCGTCAGCGCATGACAACCGGCCTGCGCTGCGCATATATTTGTTCGCACGCGTGAAAAAGACTCTTGCGCATTTCCCCTGCGCTCTATGCAACACAGCCGAACCCACCGCCAGGGGCGCGCGCACGCAGCCAAGCATGCGCATAGCTCATGCCGCGCCGGTTGTGCTTCTCGGTGCCGTAGCGGCGGTCGAGCGCGTTTTCTTGCATTGATACCGCACGAAATTAGCCGGTTTAACGCAGTGTCGAGCGCGTTTTCTTGCATTGATACCGGACAGCGTTAGCCGGTTTAACGTAAGGTAGTCTACCACTGTCCCCTGCTTTGCGTCGGATAGCACAAGCCGGCTTAACGTAGCCTTTTGCCTGGCCTTAGGCCAAAAGTAAGTTCCCCCAGCCCCGGCTATGACTTACGGTCGCCGGGGCAAAAAGAAAAAAATCACCTGGCGGAAAAAGTGACAACGGCACCCGGTGTTCCCAGGCGGTCACCCATCCAAGTACTAACCGGGCCCGATGCTGCTTAACTTCAGTGATCGGACGGGAACTGGTGTTTTCAGCATGGTATGGTCGTTGCCGGGCGGATCCGTTGCCGGTGGCCGTGCGAATGCGACCGCCATCAGCGCATGACGACCGGCCTGCGCTGCGCATATATTTGTTCGCACGTGTGAAAAATACTCTTGCGCATTTCCCCTGCGCTCTCTGCAACACAGCCAAACCTATGCCATGGGCTTGGCGATTGATCGTGGGATGTGGCCGGTGATTTTTGCCCCTTCTATCAGCTGTCAGCCTCTTGAATGATGGCAGCGCGCACTGCCGTTGTTTTAAACACCATTGTATTGTATTGCGACCGTGAAAAACGGTCGGTAGCGGCCAAAACGATTTTGCCGGCTCGCGCATACGTGGCGCTGCGATCTATACCACGTGATTGTCCGTTCGATTCCCCATCAATGCATACCAGTCCCGAATGCGCCACGTGCCCTGAGTGCAGTGATATGACACAACACGTGCGCAAGTGTGCAAAAGAGAAGAACAAAAATACATCACCTTTAGTAAAAGCCATGCATCATCGCGGTTTTAGGTGCCTTGGTTGCCGAGATGTGGCGCAAAATGTGGTAACGCCCGGTAATGGCCGAATCTTTATTGCTGGCTCGTGCGCGCATTACATACAGCACGTGCGACATGACAACTCATGCGACGTCATTGTCTGTTCGATTTCTTATAAATGCATGCCACTCCCCGGTGGCTCTGCGCCCTGGGTGCCCAGGTGTGGCACAAAGCGTGTAAAACTTTGAAAAGGAGTGAAGGCCATCTTCCTGGCTCTCGTGCTCCCGACACGTGTAACGTGTCACCCCGCACTTGTGACGCCATGGAATTTCCCGTTCAATGTGCTATCGCAGCATGCCAGTCTCGTGTTAATATGTGCCATAAGAGCGGGAATCCCGCTCAAAGTGTGAAAATGGACGAAAGCAGCAAAACAGAGCTTCGCAGCTAATGTGCACGCGTCACATGACACGTGCAGCATGACATTGTACACGTTTGAGTGATTGTCTGTTACATCACCTATCAAAGCATGCCAGTCTCTACGTACTTTACACCCTGGTTTCTGGAGATATCACGAAAACGTGTAGGCCCCTCAAGAGAGCAAAATCGCGTAAATCCATGTCCTAACACATGGGCGCCATGACATGTGGCACGTGTCATCACAATTCTCATCTGGCCCCTCAACAAGCGCGCCAATGTCGAGTGTGTTCGTGCCATACGTGCCGAAATGTGATGAGAAAAAAAAAAACGCGTAAACCTGTGGGAGAGAGCAAAATTCATCTATGGCCTCGTGCCGCGTGATACGTGTGACCGTACCATTGCGATGCACAAACTTGCGATGCGACCGAAAGTGTAGTCGCGTCAACTGTGAATGCGCGCAAACAAAATGCACGCCTGTACGCGCACGGCGAACACAGCGACAGTCACAATTCACAGCGCGCAGTCGACCACCATGCGCCAGCCAACAATTGGCCCGCTCGCCGCTCGTCAGACGGACTGCAGGCACCGCGTAATGCTCGTTCTTCATTACTAAGGCTGGCTAAATGAACAAAGTCGAAAGCCCGCCGCGCGAAAGGCCATTTTAACCCTTAGCGCCTAACGCGTGCGACAGGAGCCGGGCTAGTAACTTGCCGCCGTCACGGCGAAAATGCCGTCATGCAACCGCTTAGGCTAGGCTCATTTGCGAGCGACTTTAAAAGTGAAATGAGATCAACAAAAGGGCGCATAAGAGACAGGACGAATTGGCCAACACGCTGATGCAGTTTTCAACGCTGGATCACGCATAGTTTTGACGGTAGCGGCTTGTATTCGGCGCCGATTTGTAAAACCTTGCATCCTGCAATTGGATTCGCAAGTTGCAACGCAACGGTGCGTTATAGACACTCACAATGCCCACTGAAAATGTGGCCGCTTCAATTGTGAACGTTGGGAAAGAGCGTTCAGGTCTCTACCTTGTTTGTGTGCCGAGATATGACGGTAAACGTAAAGACGCGTCAAAAACGGCCCATTTCAGCTTGTCAACACGTGTGCACGCGTCGCGTGTGACGTGGCGCAAACAACTCAACGGAACGCGATGGCCCATCTTGTGCTCTATCGCTGCGCGCTGCGACCGCACTGTTTCTCGCCGCTGCGACCCTCGGTTGCCAAGATACGGCTCCGGGAAGCCGAGGGTTGTGGGGCCGTCGGCCGAAATCGCGAAATTGGTGTCGCCCCCGGTAACCCTAATGGGTTTTTGCGTATTTCTTTGCTCGACACGTGCTCATTTTTGCGAAATGCGAAAATTTAACGCGACACAGAAAAGTGCAGCCGGCGGATCTGGGTCGTGTGCAAATGTCATCGAAAAATGTCCAGCCGTTCAGCCTGCAGGTGACGCAACGGACACGCACACACACACACACACACACACACACACACACACACACACACACACACACACACACACACACACACACACACACACACACACACACTGTTCCCTTAATAATATAGAAAAAACCCTTAAGATAAATTGAATAGCGTGGAATATTCGGTGAACTACGTCAAGACCAAGGCACCAGCATTCAAAAGCGAAATAAATAATGCATGTGATGCGTGCCTAAGCAAAGTTATCGCATACCAAATGTATTGCCAAAACAGTAGGGAAGCGCCACGTCTAGATGCCATGCGACTGCGAGCCTTCTATAAGAGGCGTACAAGCGTGCGGACGCTTCGGGTGTCCGGCCGCAACGGCCGGCGGCCGTGGCCCGGTTCTCCGCCTCGGGTGGGCGGGTGGGGGGCTGCTGCCGATCGGTGCCCGAGCAAAGATGGCCGCCCGCTGAGGGCGGCTCGAGTGCGAAGCGGACGAATGGAGCGATTCGTCGTGGTTGGTACGCATTTGCTGATTGATTGGATAATGCACGGTGCGAACGAGGCTGAGCATGCGCTCGCAGCGCACCGAGAATGGGACACGTTTGTGACTGTGGTGACAATTTTTCGGCACAATATTGTCGCTCGCAGGTACGTTTTCATCGCTGGCGGGCGCCTCTTGATGATTGAACGTGCTTAGGTGTCTGCGCGTCCGGCAGAGGCTGAACGCCACGTCACGTGGAACAGCACACTCGGCGTGAGCATGGCGCGACAGGTTCAGCCTCGCCCCGATTGTCCGTCATCAAGTGGAATAGGTTATGCCAACGCGACGGCACGCGCGGCGAACACACCGCCGATCTGACTGCTCCGCGTGCAAAGTTCACATGCCAGATCGCAGCGGCGACGCGAGAGGCCGGCAGGCGAACAGACACAACGCTACGCTGGCACTCAACGAACGCTGGACACTGTGCGGCTTGTGCGTGGTGGGCGCCAAACGGCTGTTGTCTTGCGCTCGGGTCGCACACTGCTTGGTGCTGCGCAGGCCGTCGGCGAACGGCTCGCCGGTCGTAGCATGATTGTGTCCGGCATCTGTCGGCGCTGGGTGTGGCCCGTTTCGCGGTTGCACGTGCGCGGCACGGCTCTGCGAAAGGGCACGGCGCCACGAGGCCAGCCGGCCACCGCTCGACGACGTCGACCGGACGTGGCGCACGGACGCGCGCCGAGTGCTTGCAGCGGCCGATTCGGACACCGGCCGACAGCGAATTGTCACCGCCGCCCATCGCCATGGTGCGTGCTGTTATTGTCCGATACAGAGGCGGCCGGCGCGCGTTCGCAGTTGAGCGCTGGCCATATTTCGGGCGCGCTGACGGGGCGCCGTGACGTCATGGCCAGACGGTCGCGCGGTACGGTACAGTGGCCGGCGTGTGCCCAGCACTCTGCGCGTGCAGCCGGCATTCCGTATTCCGCCATGACTGAGACGTCCGCTGCGCCAGCCGCCGCCCCCGCCGCCAAGGCGGCCAAGGCCAAGGTGCCTAGGGCCAAGCCCGCCCATCCGCCCACCAGCGAGATGGTGCAGGGCGCCATCAAGGGTCTCAAGGAACGCGGCGGCTCGTCGCTGATCGCCATCAAAAAATACATCGCCGCCAACTACAAGGTGGACGCCGAGAAGCTGGCGCCTTTCATCAAGCGCGTTCTCAAGTCCGGCGTGACCAGCGGTGCGCTTGTGCAGACCAAGGGCAAAGGCGCCAGCGGCTCGTTCAAGCTGTCGGCCGCCACTAAGGACAAGCCCGCCAAGAAGCCGGCCAAGTCGCCCAAAAAGAAGCCCGCCGGCCCGGCCAAGGCCAAGAAGACGCCCAAAAAGACCACCAAAAAGCCGGCTGATAAGAAGAAGGCCACCAAGTCGCCGGCCAAGGTTAAGAAGGCCAAGCCCACCAAGGCCAAAAAGGCCAAGTCGCCGGCCAAAAAGCCCAAGGCGCCCAAGCCAAAAAAGTCGCCGGCCAAGAAGGCCGCCAAAAAGACCACTGCCAAAAAATAGGCTGGCGTGCCACCACCCCCGTCCGTTGGGGTGCTGCAATGGCTCTTATCAGAGCCACATAACTCGCTCCTGTACTATCAGATCGCAGACTGTCTCGCATAATTGGGCTGTGCAATCGTGCACGCCGAACGTGTCACCCACATGGGCGTGGCACTTTGGTCTTTTTCTGCAGAGGCTTTGCGTTTGACAGCGTCTGGCAGAGCGCTAGCTAGCTGCTCTGACATTTCAGACAACTCGTTGCCGTGCGTTCGTGTCACACCCAGGCTCGTACTCCATGCCACTGTCTCTGGTCCTAATAAGGACCTGTTGATGATTTCGCTCTCAGCGCTCTTAAGCACGCTCGCCACGAATGCGACGCGCCAGCTGGATGTCCTTGGGCATGATGGTCACCCGCTTGGCGTGGATGGCGCACAGGTTCGTGTCCTCGAACAGACCGACCAGGTACGCCTCGCTGGCCTCCTGCAGAGCCATGACAGCGCTGCTCTGGAAGCGCAGGTCCGTCTTGAAGTCCTGCGCAATCTCGCGCACCAGCCGCTGGAACGGCAGCTTGCGAATGAGCAGCTCCGTGCTCTTCTGGTAGCGACGGATCTCGCGAAGAGCCACCGTGCCCGGACGGTAGCGGTGAGGCTTCTTGACGCCGCCGGTGGCCGGCGCGCTCTTGCGAGCCGCCTTAGTGGCCAGCTGCTTGCGCGGCGCCTTGCCGCCGGTAGACTTGCGTGCCGTCTGCTTGGTGCGCGCCATTATTCAAACCGTAACGGTCGTTGGCGCCAACAATCGGTCACAGTTGCACGTGCGTCGACGGCGCCAAGTAACTGCGCATGCGCAGAGTGGCGCGCCTCACGTGCGGCGCGCGGTATGGTCCCGCGGCCGGCGAGCCCCACCGAGTCCGGGTGTGGTGCGCCATCTACTGCTGGCGGCCACTGAAAAGCTGTCGACATGACCGGCAGAGGCAAGGGCGGCAAGGGACTCGGAAAGGGTGGCGCCAAGCGTCATCGCAAGGTGTTGCGCGACAACATCCAGGGCATCACCAAGCCGGCCATCCGTCGTCTGGCTCGTCGCGGTGGCGTCAAGCGCATCAGCGGCCTCATCTACGAAGAGACGCGCGGCGTTCTCAAGGTGTTTCTGGAGAACGTTATCCGCGACGCCGTCACCTACACCGAGCACGCCAAGCGCAAGACCGTCACCGCCATGGACGTTGTCTACGCTCTGAAGCGCCAGGGACGTACTCTGTACGGTTTCGGCGGCTAGACACCTCCAGCGGACGGCGCGGTAGCGGCCCATTGGCAAACAGGCCTTTTTGAAGGCCAAATATCTCGTTCCGTCGACTGCGATCACATAGTGGACACAAATGGCGCCAGCGCCGTTAGTGTTCGGCACGCCATTGCTTTATCGTCGTCGCCGTTATCATGTTCGCTTTTTGACGGCCTATTTCGATTGCCGTCAGCGCTGCGCAATGGCGCGGATCAACAATGCATAAAAAACAAATGAGAGTAAATAAGATTCAATAAGAAATAGCGCATGCCAGTGCCGGGCTTTGAATCCCGGCCACGCTTCTCGTCTACGTTTTGCGCCATGCCAGAGGCACTCTGGCGCCAGTGCCGTTCCTGTTCGGCACACTGCGCTGCTTTATCGTCTCCGCCTTTTGACGGCCTATTTCGATTCTCGTCAGGGCTGTGCGATGGCACGGATCAACAATACATGAAAATGAGAATAAATCAGATCCAATCAGAAATGGCACACGCCAGTGCCCGGCCTTCAATCCCGGCCACGTTTCTCGTCTACGTTTTGCGCCATGCCAGAGGCACTCTGCCGTCGGCCGTTGGCCGGTTGGGTGACACCGTGCGATCGCTCTCGAAAGATGCCGATTGCGTGGCCTTTAAAAAGGCCTGTTGTGCGCTGACACGCGTGCGTGCGGACGCTGCTTACTTCTTCTCGGTCTTCTTGGGCAGCAGGACGGCCTGAATGTTGGGCAGCACACCACCCTGGGCGATGGTCACGCCCGACAGCAGCTTGTTGAGCTCCTCGTCGTTGCGGATGGCCAGCTGCAGGTGGCGGGGGATGATCCTGGTCTTCTTGTTGTCGCGAGCGGCGTTGCCTGCCAGCTCGAGCACCTCAGCGGCCAGGTACTCCATGACGGCGGCCAGGTACACCGGCGCGCCGGCGCCAACGCGCTCGGCATAGTTGCCCTTGCGCAACAGACGGTGGATACGACCGACCGGGAACTGGAGTCCAGCCCGCGACGAGCGAGACTTGGACTTGCCCTTCACCTTGCCGCCCTTGCCGCGTCCGGACATGGTTGATGTGCTGTGCAGTGCAGATGACTGGCTGGCGAGCGCGGCCGCGCGTCAGGGTTATTGACTCACGCTAGCGCTAACCGGCCGCCCGACGCCGCGCCACTGATCGCCGCCCGGCGCGGCGCACGCCACCGAGAGTACACATTGGCGCGCGCCAGTGGCGCCCCGGCGCGGCTATAGAAAGCAAACCCGGACGGCGGCGCGCGCACAGATCGCTGCACAGCCGGGAAGCAAGTATGCCGCCCAAGACGAGTGGAAAGGCCGCCAAGAAGGCCGGCAAGGCCCAGAAAAACATCTCCAAGGGAGACAAGAAGCGCAGGAAGAAGAGGAAGGAGTCGTACGCCATCTACATCTACAAGGTGCTCAAGCAGGTGCACCCGGACACCGGCATCTCGTCCAAGGCCATGAGCATTATGAACTCGTTCGTCAACGACATCTTCGAGCGCATCGCCGCCGAGGCCTCTCGCCTGGCCCATTACAACAAGCGGTCGACCATCACGTCGCGGGAGATCCAGACGGCCGTGCGCCTGCTGCTGCCCGGCGAGCTGGCCAAGCACGCCGTGTCGGAAGGCACCAAGGCCGTTACCAAGTACACGAGCAGCAAGTAAGGCGCCCCGTGCATCTTTGCCGGTCACAAAATCATCATCATCACCATTATCATCGCGTGATCGGCGGGAGAAATAGGTCTTTTTTAAGACCAAGCACACAACTCTTGGCGAAATGGATCACTCTGGTTAGCACGCCTGCTGAGCGCGGCCAGCTAAGTCGGCAGACCGACCCCTTCACCACGTTTAGGGGCGATTCATACCATCCGTAGAATCTTACTATTCAGCACGTGCTTTGCATTGGCTATGCTCGTGAAAATTGCCAACCACCTAGTTTGCAGTGCAGTTGTAGATTGAACTGAGCTGAATGAAATCTAATTGCAATACCTAGCTGTAATGTTTCACTTGTATGCTGCATGTGTGTAACTTTGAAAACGGAACACGTCATTCCGAGACGTTAGCATTATCCATGGATGCCAAACATCGACGTGCTATTTTTCAGTATTAATGATAGCAGAAAACGCAAACGAGCACAGAAACCTTCAGAAACACACCTGCGCCGGGGCTTTTAACAACACTTGCATAGAAGACAACTTGCTGCCCACATATGCCAATTGTAAATATGCTTAGCGGGAGCAATCGTAGGCAATTGGAGTGGCGAGCGCATACCGTCCAACAGGGGAGGGGGGCGGGGGGCCCGTGCGCCGGCTTTAGTTTGCAATTCCCACCGCCAGGGGCGCGCGCGCGCGCAGCCGCGCATGCGCATAGCTTATGCCGCGCCAGTTGTGTTTCTCGGTGCCACAGCGGCGGCCGAGCGCGTTTTTTTGCATTGATACCGGACGAAATTAGCCGGGTTAACGTAGTGTCGAGCGCGTCTTCTTGCATTGATACCGGACAGCATTGGCCGGTGTAACATAAAGTGGTCGACCCCCGTCCGTTGCTTTGCGCCGGACAGGCTAAACGTAGCCTTTTGCCTGGCCTTAAGCCAGAAGTGAGTTCCCCAAGCCTCGGCCATGACTTAAGGCCGCCGGAGCAAAACAACAACAGCAACAACAACAACAACAACAAAAAACACCTGGCGGAAAAAGTGACAACGGCACCCGGTGTTCCCAGGCGGTCACCCATCCAAGTACTAACCGGGCCCGATGCTGCTTAACTTCAGTGATCGGACGGGAACTGGTGTTTTCAGCATGGTATGGTCGTTGCCGAGCGAATTCGTTGCCGGTGGCCGCGCGAATGCGTCCGCCGTCAGCGCATGACAACCGGCCTGCGCTGCGCATATATTTGTTGGCACGCGTGAAAAAGACTCTTGCGCATTTCCCCTGCGCTCTATGCAACACAGCCGAACCCACCGCCAGGGGCGCGCGCACGCAGCCAGGCATGCGCATAGCTCATGCCGCGCCGGTTGTGTTTCTCGGTGCCGTAGCGGCGGTCGAGCGCGTTTTCTTGCATTGATACCGGACGAAATTAGCCGGTTTAACGCAGTGTCGAGCGCGTTTTCTTGCATTGATACCGGACAGCGTTAGCCGGTTTAACGTAAAGTAGTCTACCACTGTCCCCTGCTTTGCGTCGGATAGCACAAGCCGGCTTAACGTAGCCTTTTGCCTGGCCTTAGGCCAAAAGTAAGTTCCCCCAGCCCCGGCTATGACTTACGGTCGCCGGGGCAAAAAGAAAAAAAATCACCTGGCGGAAAAAGTGACAACGGCACCCGGTGTTCCCAGGCGGTCACCCATCCAAGTACTAACCGGGCCCGATGCTGCTTAACTTCAGTGATCGGACGGGAACTGGTGTTTTCAGCATGGTATGGTCGTTGCCGGGCGGATCCGTTGCCGGTGGCCGTGCGAATGCGACCGCCATCAGCGCATGACGACCGGCCTGCGCTGCGCATATATTTGTTCGCACGTGTGAAAAATACTCTTGCGCATTTCCCCTGCGCTCTCTGCAACACAGCCAAACCTATGCCATGGGCTTGGCGATTGATCGTGGGATGTGGCCGGTGATTTTTGCCCTTTCTATCAGCTGTCAGCCTCTTGAATGATGGCAGCGCGCACTGCCGTTGTTTTAAACACCATTGTATTGTATTGCGACCGTGAAAAACGGTCGGCAGCGGCCAAAACGATTTTGCCGGCTCGCGCATACGTGGCGCTGCGATCTATACCACGTGATTGTCCGTTCGATTCCCCATCAATGCATACCACTCCCGAATGCGCCACGTGCCCTGAGTGCAGTGATATGACACAACACGTGCGCAAGTGTGCAAAAGAGAAGAACAAAAATGCATCACCTTTAGTAAAAGCCATGCATCATCGCGGTTTTAAGTGCCTTGGTTGCCGAGATGTGGCGCAAAATGTGGTAACGCCCGGTAATGGCCGAATCTTTATTGCTGGCTCGTGCGCGCATTACATACAGCACGTGCGACATGACAACTCATGCGACGTCATTGTCTGTTCGATTTCTTATAAATGCATGCCACTCCCCGGTGGCTCTGCGCCCTGGGTGCCCAGGTGTGGCACAAAGCGTGTAAAACTTTGAAAAGGAGTGACGGCCATCTTTCTGGCTCTTGTGTTCCCGACACGTGCAACGTGTCACCCCGCACTTGTGACGCCATGGAATTTCCCGTTCAATGTGCTATCGCAGCATGCCAGTCTCGTGTTAATATGTGCCATAAGAGCGGAAATCCCGCTCAAAGTGTGAAAATGGACGAAAGCAGCCAAACAGAGCTTCGCAGCTAATGTGCACGCGTCACATGACACGTGCAGCATGACATTGTACACGTTTGAGTGATTGTTACATCACCTATCAAAGCATGCCAGTCTCTACGTACTTTATACCCTGGTTTCTGGAGATATCACGAAAACGTGTAGGCCCCTCAAGAGAGCAAAATCGTGTAAATCCATGTCCTAACACATGGGCGCCATGACATGTGGCACGTGTCATCACAATTCGCATCTGGCCCCTCAACAAGCGCGCCAATGTCGGGTGTGTTCGTGCCATACGTGCCGAAATGTGATGAGAGAAAAAAACAAAACAAACGCGTAAACCTGTGGGAGAGAGCAAAATTCATCTATGGTCTCGTGCCGCGTGATACGTGTGACCGTACCATTGCGATGCACAAACTTGCGATGCGACCGAAAGTGTGTTCGCGTCAACTGTGAATGCGCGCAAACAAAATGCACGCCTGTACGCGCACGGCGAACACAGCGACAGTCACAATTCACAGCGCGCAGTCGACCACCATGCGCCAGCCAACAATTGGCCCGCTCGCCGCTCGTCAGACGGACTGCAGGCACCGCGTAATGCTCGTTCTTCATTACTAAGGCTGGCTAAATGAACAAAGTCGAAAGCCTGCCGCGCGAAAGGCCATTTTAACCCTTAGCGCCTAACGCGTGCGACAGGAGCCGGGCTAGTAACTTGCCGCCGTCACGGCGAAAATGCCGTCATGCAACCGCTTAGGCTAGGCTCATTTGCGAGCGAATTTAAAAGTGAAATGAGATCAACAAAAGGGCGCATAAGAGACAGGACGAATTGGCCAACACGCTGATGCAGTTTTCAACGCTGGATCACGCATAGTTTTGACGGTAGCGGCTTGTATTCGGCGCCGATTTGTAAAACCTTGCATCCTGCAATTGGATTCGCAAGTTGCAACGCAACGGTGCGTTATAGACACTCACAATGCCCACTGAAAATGTGGCCGCTTCAATTGTGAACGTTGGGAAGGAGCGTTCAGGTCTCTACCTTGTTTGTGTGCCGAGATATGACGGTAAACGTAAAAACGCGTCAAAAACGGCCCATTTCAGCTTGTCAACACGTGTGCACGCGTCGCGTGTGACGTGGCGCAAACAACTCAACGGAACGCGATGGCCCATCTTGTGCTCTATCGCTGCGCGCTGCGACCGCACTGTTTCTCGCCGCTGCGACCCTCGGTTGCCAAGATACGGCTCCGGGAAGCCGAGGGTTGTGGGGCCGTCGGCCGACATCGCGAAATTGGTGTCGCCCCCGGTAACCCTAATGGGTTTTTGCGTCTTTCTTTGCTCGACACGTGCTCATTTTTGCGAAATGCTAAAATTTCACGCGACACAGAAAAGTGCAGCCGGCGGATCTCGGTCGTGTGCAAATGTCATCGAAAAATGTCCAGCCGTTCAGCCTGCAGGTGACGCAACGGACACACACACACACACACACACACACACACACACACACACACACACACACACACACACACACACACACACACACACACACACACACACACTGTTCCCTTAATAATATAGAAAATACCCTTAAGATAAATTGAATAGCGTGGAATATTCGGTGAACTATGTCAAGACCAAGGCACCAGCATTCAAAAGCGAAATAAATAATACATGTGATGCGTGCCTAAGCAAAGTTATCGCTTTCCAAATGTATTGCCATAGCAGTAGGGAAGCGCCACGTCTAGATGTCATGCGACTGCGAGGCTTCTATAAGAGGCGTACAAGCGTGCGGACGCTTCGGGTGTCCGGCCGCAACGGCCGGCGGCCGTGGCCCGGTTCTCCGCCTCGGGTGGGCGGGTGGGGGGCTGCTGCCGATCGGTGCCCGAGCAAAGATGGCCGCCCGCTGAGGGCAGCTCGAGTGCGAAGCGGACGAATGGAGCGATTCGTCGTGGTTGGTGGAGTGGAGTCGAGTCGTGTGCGAGTCGTGGAGTCGTTCTGAACGCCGGAGGCCAGGGTGTTCAGCAGCTGCTGGTTGGTGCTCAGCTCAGGTTCTCCAGACCGGCAGGTTTGGCACGTGCCCCAACCTAGGCTTGAATGCCACAACGCCCCTCTCCCAGACCTCTTCGGCACAGGTATTGCCGATGGGTCCAGAAAAATTTTGATCCCGTGGTCGTGCCGTCCACGCCCAGCAGCAGATGGAGGAGGTTCAGTTCGTTGCCGCGCAGCTGGCAGATGAACCAGTGCACGGATGACTCGATGGCCAGCTCATACAGCCGGAACACGTCGCCTATCGTTTCGGTGTTGACGGCCGTGTCATTGCAGCTGAGAACATTGATGTGATTGTCGCACTGCGGGCTCACGGAGTGTAGCTCGTTGAACACGTGCGGGGCGCCGCCGAATTCGGACGTAAGATACGTCACGTAGCGTCTGCCTGGCTCAGCAATGACAGCCACGTGTTTTTCGACCGCATTCGTCGGGCTCCGTGCGGCTCATGTAGCTCCTGCCTTCGCGGCCGCCAGAGTAGAGGATGGTCAAACCTGACTCTTGGACTGCTTCAAAATTTTAACGAGCCGTCTCCTTTCTCGCTGTCTCTTGCGCAGCAGATCTCCTTAGGATCTACGTGATGGGATTTCTAGTGGCCAGACCGTCTCTTCTGTCTTGTTGAAAGGCATTGATGATAGCAGCAGCGGCCCGGTTCGAGCCACCGTAGCTGTCAATCGCCAGAGCGGTGTAAGTCAGATCGTTAACGCTATGATCAACAGTGACAGTGGTCTCAACCGGAACGAACAATCAGCGTCGTCGCCACTTTCTACCATGTACGGAAACATGTAAGAATCCGTGCTCTCGACTGACTCGCCAGCGCTGAGACCACTTGGTCCCGGAGCAGGCTCGGGGTCAGCACTAGCAGCCAGCGCCAGCTCAGCAGGAGGCGCAGGCTCAGCAGGCGGCGGGGAAGGCGACTCGGGTTCAACAGCAGACGCCGCCTCACTG